AAACTCTCTTCATTAAGAAGACACTTTTCTATATGAAAACTGTCTTCATAATGAAGACACTTATCTATATAAAAACTGTCTTAATTATGAAGACGCTTTTCTATATGAAAACTATCTTCATTATGAAGACGCTTTTCTATATGATAACTATCTTCATTATGAAGACGCTTTTCTATATGAAAACTCTCTTCATTAAGAAGACACTTTTCTATATGAAAACTGTCTTCATTATGAAGACACTTTTCTATATGAAAACTCTCTTCATTAAGAAGACACTTTTCTATATGAAAACTCTCTTCATTAAGAAGACACTTTTCTATATGAAAACTGTCTTCATAATGAAGACACTTTTCTATATGAAAACTGTCTTCATAATGAAGACACTTTTCTATATGAAAACTGTCTTCATAATGAACATACTTTTCTATATGAAAACTGTCTTCATAATGAAGACACTTCTCTATTTGAAAACTGATTTCATAACGAATACACTTATCTATATCAAAACTGACTTCATAATGAAGACACTTTTCTATATGAAAACTGTCTTCATAATGAAGACACTTTTCTAGATGAAAACAGTCGTCATTATGAAGACACATTTCTGTATGAAAACTGTTTTCATTATGAAGACACTTATCTATTCATTCATTATGAAGACAGTTTTCATAATGAAGACACTTTTCTATATGAAAACTGTCTTCATAATGAAGACACTTCTCTATTTGAAAACTGATTTCATAACGAATACACTTATCTATATCAAAACTGACTTCATAATGAAGACACTTTTCTATATGAAAACTGTCTTCATAATGAAGACACTTTTCTATATGAAAACTATCTTCATTATGAAGACGCTTTTCTATATAAAAACTGTTTTCATTATGAAGACACTTTTCTATATGAAAACTCTCTTCATTATGAAGACACTTTTCTATATGAAAACTCTCTTCATTATGAAGACACTTTTCTATATGAAAACTCTCTTCATTATGAAGACACTTTTCTATATGAAAACTCTCTTCATTAAGAAGACACTTTTCTATATGAAAACTGTCTTCATAATGAAGACACTTTTCTATTTGAAAACTGACTTCATAACAAATACACTTATCTATATCAAAACTGACTTCATAATGAAGACACTTTTCTATATCAAAACTGACTTCATAATGAAGACACTTTTCTATATGAAAACTGTCTTCATAATGAAGACACTTATCTATATGAAAACTGTCTTCATAATGAAGACACTTTTCTATATGAAAACTGTCTTCATAATGAAGACACTTCTCTATTTGAAAACTGATTTCATAACGAATACACTTATCTATATCAAAACTGACTTCTAAATGAAGATACTTTCCTATATGAAAACTGTCTTCATAAGAAGACACTTTGTATTCAGAATGAAGACACTTTTCTATATGAAAACTTTTTTCATTATGAAGACACTTTTCTATTTGAAAACTGACTTCATAACAAATACACTTATCTATATCAAAACTGACTTCATAATGAAGACACTTTTCTATATCAAAACTGACTTCATAATGAAGACACTTTTCTATATGAAAACTGTCTTCATAATGAAGACACTTATCTATATGAAAACTGTCTTCATAATGAAAACACTCTTTTATATGAAAACTGTCCTCATAATGAAGACACTTTTCTATATGAAAACTGTCTTCATAATGAAGACACTTCTCTATTTGAAAACTGATTTCATAACGAATACACTTATCTATATCAAAACTGACTTCTAAATGAAGATACTTTCCTATATGAAAACTGTCTTCATAAGAAGACACTTTGTATTCAGAATGAAGACACTTTTCTATATGAAAACTTTTTTCATTATGAAGACACTTTTCTAATGACAATTAGTGTAGATTCTAAAATTAAATTTAACGTTTTTTTCTAAAAATAAATCTTTTTATATGGAAATATCAAAAATTTATTCTATTTTTATTTTATTTAATAAAGTTATAATCCAATTCATATTTTTTTTCGATTGTGCGTTAAGTTTTTATTTTAAAAACAAAGTTTGCTGCTTAAGTCTTTTGTTTGTTTTAATGATTTCTTTAGAAAAACCTGAAAATTTACTTTTTAAAATAATGATAAATTATTTGCAATTATTAACAAAAATTAACAAAATATACTAATAACGTTTTTTTATAACAAACAATCAGCAATAAAACCAAACAAAAGATCAAGCAAATACTAGTTAAAAAAAAAAACAAAAGTTCATTCATGTATGGCAAACAAATCAAATAATATTCAAAGAATTTAATTTTAGTAAACTTTTATTGTAAATGGTAGCCGAAATAAACTTGAACTTGAAATTTTAAAGAGGCTACTTAGACCAGCCTTTCTTTATACGATGTTTTTTTTAACAAACTGCATTTAAGATTTAAACAAACTTGTCATTTGTTTTTAAGCAAAAATCGATACTTTAAAGAAATATTTAAATTTTTGTTATTAATTTTTAATAAGAAAAACAAAAAAAAAGCATATCAAAAAGTGATTGTGTTTAAAACAAAACAAAATTATGCTGTTTCTAGTCTTTAATTTTGAAGAGTAACTTCTTTATGTGTTTTATTTTATTTTTTTTTTTTTAAACAGAGAATTGATAAAATATGTGTATAGTTTTTCTATATTTCTAACAGCAGCAGAATTATTTAACAGCAGCAGCAGCAGTCACCCGGCCAACAATCTATTGTTTTTGATGGTCATTCAAATTTTGATTTTATTTTATGTTTTTTTTTTTTTTTTTGCTTTCAACATCTTCTGTATTTCTCTCAATTTTAGAAACCAAAAATCTTCATTTTTTTTTGCTTTTATTTTTTTTTTCTTAATGTAGTTTATCATATTTTTTATGTATTTGTCATTAAATTATTATGTATGTGTGTGAATATTTTGGCCATTTTTTGTCTAGTCTAGTCCAGTTAGTCAGTTTTTGGTACGATATGTTTGTTATATAAATTTCACTGTTTCTTGCTGGCTCATCATCATTTGTGCTTTGAACTTCTTGAGAGTGTTTTCGACAAAAAAAAATCATCTCAAATAAAATTATAAAAAATTCATAAGAATTTAATAAAATTTTAAGTGCTTTTTGAAAAAAATTTATTAACATACCAAAATGGTAGGTGTTGTAAACAACAACTTATGGAAAATATATTTAAAAATCCTTTATAAAAACCATATCAAGTGCAAAGTGTCTTTTGTGGAAAAAACCAAAGAAAATAAGAAACATTCACACAAACATGAACTTTTAAAGGAAACCTAATGAAAATAAAAATTATGGAAAATTTAATAAAAATTACAAAAGTGACTAACAATTAACCTTGAGTGCATAAGAAAGTCCTTCAATAATTAAATTTTTATTTTGGATTAATTCGTTTGATGTTCATAAAAAAGTGTTAACATTTTTTAAGAAAAAGTGGAAAATCTGGACAATTTAAGGATGCATTTTAAAAAAAGAATCTCAAAATAATTTAATCAGGAAATAGTTTTCATGAATTTCAAAAAACCTTGGAAATTTTCCAAGGTTTTCTCCAAAGGAGAATAATTCAGTGTTAAACTTTGTATTAAAATTCCATGTACCCAGCAGTTCGGTTGGAAAGTCCCGAATGACATATTTAAGCTACCACTTAGCATTAGCCCTAGCCACTGACTATCCAGGTGACACATATATATGATTGTCCTACAAGAAAGCCAATCGTCACCATATAGATTGCGAAGAGACAGACAATAAGCTTAAGTTTGTTTTTTAAGTGTCATAATGAGCAATGTCATAAAGTTCATGTCCTTGACACTTTTAACAGTGTCCTACTATACATGTCTTTTAATACTGAAATATCTTGGAATATTTATTTAGTATTTCAGAAAGAGACATACTTTTCCCGGATAAAATTATGTTGGAAGAAAGTTAGGAGCACCAGCTTTATGGACGGATTTTGCTGATTTTAACATGAAAACTGTCTTCATTATGAAGACACTTTTCTATATGAAAACTGTCTTCATTATGAAGACACTTTTCTATATGAAAACTGTCTTCATTATGAAGACACTTTTCTATATGAAAACTGTCTTCATTATGAAGACACTTTTCTATATGAAAACTGTCTTCATTATGAAGACACTTTTCTATATGAAAACTGTCTTCATTATGAAGACACTTTTCTATATGAAAACTGTCTTCATTATGAAGACACTTTTCTATATGAAAACTGTCTTCATTATGAAGACACTTTTCTATATGAAAACTGTCTTCATTATGAAGACACTTTTCTATATGAAAACTGTCTTCATTATGAAGACACTTTTCTATATGAAAACTGTCTTCATTATGAAGACACTTTTCTATAAGAAAACTGTCTTCATTATGAAGACACTTTTCTATATGAAAACTGTCTTCATTATGAAGACACTTTTCTATATGAAAACTGTCTTCATTATGAAGACACTTTTCTATATGAAAACTGTCTTCATTATGAAGAAAGACACTTTTCTATATGAAAACTGTCTTCATTATGAAGACACTTTTCTATATGAAAACTGTCTTCATTATGAAGACACTTTTCTATATGAAAACTGTCTTCATTATGAAGACACTTTTCTATATGAAAACTGTCTTCATTATGAAGACACTTTTCTATATGAAAACTGTCTTCATAATGAAGACACTTTTCTATATGAAAACTGTCTTCATTATGAAGACACTTTTCTATATGAAAACTGTCTTCACTATGAAGACACTTTTCTATATGAAAACTGTCTTCATTATGAAGACACTTTTCTATATGAAAACTGTCTTCATTATGAAGACACTTTTCTATATGAAAACTGTCTTCATTATGAAGACAATTTTCTATATGAAAACTGTCTTCATTATGAAGACACTTTTCTATATGAAAACTGTCTTCATTATGAAGACACTTTTCTATATGAAAAGTGTCTTCATTCATTATATACTTAATAATGTCAAAAGAAGTGTAGGTCTGGCGACTTTCTGGTGAAGAGGGTTATATTTCTAATACAAGTATTTGGTATCATTAATAAAAATGGTTTATTAATCTTAAGAAATTAAACTAAAAAGTACCATTAAAAGTAGAAAAGTACTTTCATAACCAAACCTATTATCCAGATTATATTAACTAAAAACCTGGTCTTTTTATGTGGTACACAAATGGTTTTACTTCCTATACCACAGAAAATTTTCCATAATCTTAAACCTCTCCTTTATTATTTTCAGAAATTCCTTTTGATTGCTTTTGCTTTAGTTGGCATTGCTGCCGCTGCTACTCTTCCCGATAGCGCCACTCAGGGCCCTAACCCCCAAGATATTGCTACACCTGAACCAGAATACATTGATATTGATTTGCCTGAACCCGCTCCTGCTCCAAAACCCGCCCCAGTACCCAAACCAGTCTTTGCCGCTCCCGCTCCCAGACCCGTACAACGTCCCATCCAAGCCGCCTCTTTTGCTGCCCCCCTTGTCCAACACATCCAACCTCAATTGGCTCAACCTCAATTGCCTGGTCACTTCCATGGTCAATCCGGTTACCAATACAGACGTCCCGTTTATATCAGACGTGTGTACCGTCGTCGTTACTAAGTTGAAGGAAAAACAGAAGACTAAAAGACTACCACATATCAAAAATCATGGTTAAAAAAAGAAGGATGTTAGTAGGAGAGATTAATTCATTGTATTATTAAGGTTTCATTGTGAAAAAAAAACTCAAAAGAAACAGTCATTTTTATATTAAAACCCCCGTTTTTAGTTTTAAATATTTTTGTTTAATAATTTTTTTTGTTTTATAAAATATCCAAATCATAGTGTTAGAAAGTACAAAGAGACAAATGATGTGTAGAAAAAAAATCTTGTTAAAAAAGCACACAAAAAACGAAATAAATAAAAAATATTATTATTTATAAAAAATCCAGAGGATCAGTTTTTCATTTAAATTATATTCCTGGGGACAAAAAAGATTGTTGTCAAACTCAACAACGAAATCATTGGGAATTAAATACTCAAGCAGAAAATAAAATTGCGAGTTGCAGGATTCATTCAAAACTAGTTATGAACCCGATTTGTAATGGAATCTAAAAGATTTTGTATTTTAAAAATGTAGTCCGCTATAACACTAGTTTTGTATCGAATATTAACTTGCGAACCCAAAGCTTAAGGCACCAAAAGGGTCCTCTATATTATTAGATATTTAAATCTGGCATGAACGTCACATGACACATTTACTGCAACTAAGAAAAACCCATAATATGCGGAAGGATGTGAAAGCGTAATATTCCACCATAATAACGTTACGTCACACTCTCTTTCAAATACGATTAACTTCCAAATAGGGAATCCGAAATTGGCTTCATTATTTCAGTTAGTTAGTAGTTAGTTAGTTAGTTAGTTAGTTAGTTATTAGTTAGTTAGTTAGTTAGTTAGTTAGTTAGTTAGTTAGTTAGTTATAGTTAGTTAGTTAGTTAGTTAGTTAGTTAGTAGTTAGTTAGTTAGTAGTTAGTAGTTAGTTAGTTAGTAGTTAGTTAGTTAGTTAGTTAGTTAGTTAGTTAGTTAGTAGTAGTTAGTAGTTAGTTAGTTAGTAGTTAGTTAGTTAGTTAGTTAGTTAGTTAGTTAGTTAGTTAGTTAGTTAGTTAGTTAGTTAGTTAGTAGTTAGTTAGTTAGTTAGTTAGTAGTTAGTTAGTTAGTTAGTTAGTTAGTTAGTTAGTTAGTTAGTTAGTTAGTTAGTTAGTTAGTTAGTTAGTTAGTTAGTTAGTTAGTTAGTTAGTTAGTTAGTTAGTAGTTAGTTAGTTAGTTAGTTAGTTAGTTAGTTAGTTAGTTAGTTAGTTAGTTAGTTAGTTAGTTAGTTAGTTAGTTAGTTAGTTAGTTAGTTAGTTAGTTAGTTAGTTAGTTAGTTAGTTAGTTAGTTAGTTAGTTAGTTAGTTAGTAGTTAGTTAGTTAGTTAGTTAGTTAGTTAGTTAGTTAGTTAGTTAGTTAGTTAGTTAGTTAGTTAGTTAGTTAGTTAGTTAGTTAGTTAGTTAGTTAGTTAGTTAGTTAGTTAGTTAGTTAGTTAGTTAGTTAGTTAGTTAGTTAGTTAGTTAGTTAGTTAGTTAGTTAGTTAGTTAGTTAGTTAGTTAGTTAGTTAGTTAGTTAGTTAGT